TGACTGGAGAATAGATGTACAGCTGACAATATCAACATCTGTGCACAACGCAATATAGAAGCTTTAAAATCGCATTAAAACATAGGATCAGTCAGTAATAATGCCACTCTGATGAAAAACAACACGAGATCATCAATTTTACCTCTGTGATTCAAACTATCGCAAAAAATACAGAATAGAAGCAAAGATCACAGCTGATTTAATATGCTGAACTACAAAAGTTTGAGCATTTCGTAAACGTTAACCACATTCGTTGTATATTTGGATATCCCGTCCTATTGACATCAATTTGAGATTATTTGCCTTAATCCTCTTCTATATTACTAGAAATCAGCGCTAAAATGAAAAAACTTACGGGATATCCTCTATACTCTCCTTTGATGATGAGTCCATATTTTTATGTTCGCGGCCGAGGTCAAATGTAGCAAGAGACCTGGAGCGAGTTATGCCAAATATGGTAATTTCGTAACTACGGTGATTCTCAACAACAACTTTGTAGGCGCCATCTTTGTAAATCTGGAGCGAATTTGATCTTTTCGTGTACTGTCATCGAGAACAGCCTAGAATATCGATTATTGTATGCAGAGAGTAATGGTTTTCTAATTGAGTCGGTGAGTTCATTCAATGATGCTGTTTAACTAAATGATGAACAATATTCCTTCAAGGATTGGTGAGAACTGTACAAATACAACTTCAGCTGATGAGATGGGAAAATTGCCTCCCATTTGGAAGAATACAGCGCAGTAGCAATGCAAAGTGGAAAATTGTATATTGTGCACCTCGGTGCATGCACAGATCTCGATGTCTAGATACTATTCGCTACCGAAACTGGAGCTTACTGTAGGACTGCAAATATGCGCAATCCAGGCCAGAAAGGCTTCTTTGATTGGATTGAAGTGCAAATTGATTGAAAATATAAGTCATGATGAGATGAGTTTGTTTATATAATGGTGGGGCCACCAGGTTTGTTTGTTGCATTTCCTAGAAATTACATTCATATGTCTATGATGGTGAGAACTTGCTCCAACACCTGGTAGTTGTGTTGTGCTATAGTATTATTTAGTATGATTGCTTTTTATCATTCTTTGACCCTTTGCAGTGTTGCATTTTTCCCCACCTGCTGTCATACTACAATACCTAACCAAACTTAACTTCTTTTTCAGTTACAGGGTCTTATATTTTTCACCATGCCAGTACAAACAGAACGAAGTGTCAATCATTTTGGAATATAGGTTGCCAACAGCATCACATGGCAAGGATGGGAGCCTGGTGGAGAGTACACACAGCAAATTGTGCTTAAGAATGTGCAGATTAAAACTAAAAGCTGCACTACAAGTGAGTACTTTGCTCCTCAGAGCTTATTCAATTAAAATGCTGCAATGATTCAATTAGATTTTTAGCATTTTCCACCCCCTCTACTCCCAAGCCAGAGTTGATTTCAAATGACCTACCCAAGCAAAATTTGTTGTAGTATTCTTTGTATGATCAACATTTGTTTTAAATTTAGGAAAGGCATGTATTAGTTTTTTGTGCTTCTGTGGGATTATTAGCTTGTAAGTATCATTTTATGATGTTAATTTTTTTTCTAAGCAATTTGCTGGCAACAACAGACTCTTTACCTTAAAACTCTGATTTCCAAGACATGTATTTGGCTGGAAGGACTGGACAATTATAGTTGAAATACCCCACCCCACCAAGACAAGGTTCAAATTCCCCACTCCCACGGGTTGCCAGAGGAGAGGATGTTGAAGCTTCCAACTAATCAGTACATAAATACCATGAACAATTTTTTGAATAAGGAAAGAAAGTTTATGCATATGCACGTCTCTGTGTTGAGCCAACAGTTCCTTCATTACTCTCTTATCACATTGTATTATTTCTATTTCCAGGTCTCCATCTAGTAGATTTTTTACAACACTTTACCTAAGCCAATTGTGCTAAGCTCTGGAACCAGCTTTACTTTGCCTGTTACATTCAGACCTCTTGAAAAGGTATAATATAATGTGGTTATTCTTAAACTATCCAAGTTGATTTAATATCTGTAGAGCTTAGTTGAAACAGTTGCTTCAAGATTGTCATAGAATTAATGTAAGTTACTGTGAATTGAGTCCCAGCTTGGATGTTACTGGCATGATAAATATTTAATGCAAAGACAAACTAATGAAAAACTATAAATATATTTGCTTACGAAGATGTCCTGCATTTGTTTGATTATTATAATTTGCTTTTTGATGTTACAGTGTTTTACTCTGTTGTTTGTTTAGGAGGGAATTTTTTCAGTTCCTATGAAAGCAGTCTTACCAAAAGCAGATATAGCAGTACCAGAATCACTTAAGTTCAACATGTGTGCTGTAAAGGACTGTGTGCAAGTTGTATTTCAAATCACAAATACCAGGTATATGTATTTTTGATAAATATACATGTAGCTACTGGATACAAGCAAAACATTTGCTGATCAAAATCCTTTTTCAGGCTTATAACAGTGTATAAGAATTAGATCCTCAAGGCTTTTAGTACTAACCTGTTGTGTATATATATTTCTATGTAAACAAAATTTTTAGCTACTTCTCTGTTTTATGGAATATTATTGATGACAAGCAACTGTACTTTCTCTTTGCCTGTTTTTCAGTGAACTGGTAACAAATTTCCATTGGAAAGTGTTGGAGCCATTTTCAATTGTTCCTGAAAGTGGTACTCTGTCACCACAAACATCATGCAATATCAAAGCGACATTTAGCCCAAAGGTATATGTTTCAAGATGTCTATGGTGTGCATTGATTATTGGGTATTGGGTGATTACAATGTGGAGTTTTGAATGATTCCAATGCCTTAACTCTCTCAGAATCTTGTATTGATTCCTTTACTGATCATTATTTTGTAGGCAGCATTGGTTTATGAAGGCACTGCAGTGTGTTCTTATAGTGCTGAGCAAAAAGTTCCTTTTACAAAGCATGTCAGATTGGAAGGAATAGGTAAACTGATCAACATACATTTCTAGCATATTATGTTAGGTAAGTCTGTACTTGAGCCAAGTGGCACACCCAGCAGAAGCCTATCCTACCTTCCTTTACATGAAGCAGTTAGGAGTATTACTACTCCTCCCTGGATGTGATGCTAGTCCATCACAAGGTTACTCCCCAGCATTTCATCAGACCTCCCTGATGATTGTCAGCATCCATTTATACTCCTGAATGGAGATAAGCGTGGTGGGAGTAAAGTGTTTTGCTCAATTGCATAACATGGTGAACCAGCCAGGTCTTGAACCCAGACCTCTCAACCTGCAGTCCAGTGCACTAACTAGCATTGACCCAGCCAGGTCTCGAACCCCTCTCAACCTGTAGTCCAGCATTCTAACTATCAGGCCACAGCATGTCCCCAAGCCATATTGTTTTCTTGATCAGTGGTTGCATTATCATCCTTTGAACTTATTTTTCATCTCCCGCATCAGGTAAATTTCCCCATCTTGTAGCCAGCATATCCAGGCAGACCAAGAACACTCCTACTGAGTTCACAACCAAGGATGAATTAGATTTAAATTTTGGTGAAGTCCCTGTTCAAACAACAGCTGTCAAGTGGATTGAGCTACATAACTTCTCTCCAGTAAGAGTTATTCTTCTTGACCAGTTCCTTAAATACAAGAGATATTATCATTGATTTTTTTATATTGGAGCTTTTCAATTTAATTTATAGGTTAATGCACCATACCAAGTGTTACAACCGTCTTCTACCTTCAATATGGACATGGTGTTCTCATGTTCACATTATCATGGTGTTGTCCCAGCAGAAAGTACCATCAAACTTAAGGTAATTTTTTGTTGCAGGTGAATCTGCTTATTTATATTACCCAGTAAGGACTCAATTGCTTTGTTCTTTGCTAACAGTAATTTTTAACTGAAGATTTTTCTCTCTATTCTTCTTGTATCCTCACTTGAGTATATTACTTCTCTTGCAAACGGCTCACATGTATGTGATCTTTATGTAAAATGTATTTTTTCTGTCTCGTTATTCTTTTTCAGGTGTCATTTACTCCACAGAATCCTGGTTTTCACTCAGTGGATTATCTGGAAGTTATAGCTCTTGGAGCTACCAATTGTTCTGTTATTAAATGCACAGGAATAGGCAAAGGTAGTGATATGTTTAGTGCTTTTACAGGCTCTGACAGTTCATGAAGTTGAACTTGGAAATAAAAAATGATTAATTGAAATAATTTATACTGGGACATGTCAATTTTAACATTGTCCGCTACATGAAGGGGGGGGGGGTACTACAATTTATTTTAGGATGATATACTTAAAAGGCCTTTTTAGGGTGCAGTGTTTAGATGCATGAACTGAAAGTGACTTCAACTTGGGATCGCAAAAATTATGTTTGCCCAAAAGTGACTAAGATGGGATCTTTAGTTTACCACAGAATAAACTTTTATGGGTCAGGAATTCTGAGGGACCAGTGGCACATATCCAGCAAAAATTTACCCAAGTTTTCCCCTGACCCTCATTCTAGGTCAGCTGTAATCTCATAATAACTATGAGCATTATATTATGAACCACCCTTGCCGTCTAATAAATTAATTTTCCAGTGCAAATCAGTATTTTGTATTTAATTCTGTTTGTTAGGGCCTGAAGTTGTTCTTGACTGTGACTATCTTGATATGGGAGTTGTAGAATCTGGCAAGTTTTCAGCTAAAAGTTTCAAGGTTGTTAACAATTCAGATGTTCCTGCAGCTTTTCAGGTAATTAATGTAATAAGCAAATTTTTGTCTTCTAAAGGATTATTGATGTCAAACACTTTTAGATTAATACAACTCTCAATATTTAACAATTATTTGCAAAAGGTAAATATTAGACTTGTAACTGCTCAGATGCTCTCTGTAAAAACAGGGTTATTTGACCTTCTGATATATTTTTATTTTCTACTTGTGCAAAGTCAGCTCCTTTGGGCACTGAATGGTGTTAGTGTGGTGTATGATATCTGGGAGATTGACAACTTCGATGATTAAAGGAATGGCATCACATTTAGATTAGAGAAAAAGTATCAAGTCCAATTATTTCATACTTAATTACGAGCAAAAAATACATACTGAGTCCCTAAAGCCTTTGAAATCCATACAGTATTTTGTAATTATTGCTACTAGATACAGGTCACTAAAATTTTCAAGGTAACTGTCATGTTTTACATTCAACAGATGCTTCTTTTTTTAGAATGAAGAAATAAATCAGCTCTGGTTTTTTGTAAGATGTTTTCCTGTTTTTGTTGCCTGAAAGTGTCCACTGAAGGGATTTACAAATAAATTGTAGGTGCCCCTTTCAGAGAGGTGCCATTCTTCTTAATGGCAGTTTTTTGGAAAAGAAATATTAGAGATAACTTGATATCAACTGATAAACTTAAGTTTAAAAGTTACTCATTTGTACTTATGATAATCGTTGTAACGTATATTTTAGTTCATGATCGACTGCAATCAAAGTGTCTTCAAGCTGGAAACAACATGTGGTTTATTACCTGGCAAGGGTTCTCAAGTCATAATTATACGCTTTTCTCCAACAAATCCAATTAATTACTACAGGAGACTAACTTGTCTAGTGCAAAACCAGGTCAGTGTTAGTATTAGGCTGGTAATATTTTTCTGTTTGTCCAAACTGTAATCTTGAAAAGTGTTTATATTAAGTTTTGTTCATCTGATTTTCTCAGGATCCATTGTATGTTGATTTGTTTGGAACTTGTCATACAGAACAAGTTAAACCAGGTACATTCAGTGTCTATGTTTATAATTTAGAAATTCTTTAACCCCCGTAAGTGACCAAGATAGAAATTCTCCCAACAATATCAATACAATATCAAGCGGAAAAGTGATGAGAATAAAGAAAAATATCAATTAGGAGATTATTAGGTGATCCAATACCAAATTCTCAGAATTAGCTCCATGAGAATTTTTATGGCACACACTAAGGAGAATTACTGATGAGATCTTGGGAGTGAATGGGTTAGTGTTTATGCATTTTACTTTTAAATAAGCGTGAAACTCAGTCTTACATTTTTTTATCATATTTACATAAAATGAACAATTGGGCTTGTGGGGATACTGAGCAATTACTACATGAAACAAGAAAAATGACTTACCATAAATTGATCCGTTTATCAGCTGTTTTGCAGAAGAAACATCTGGACAGGTATCACATCCATGTTAGACGTGGATTCTCAAAAATCTCACCAGAGGTAAGTGGTGGTGTTCCTGCTAAAAGAGATCTAGAGATAAATTTTGATCAAGATGATGTATAATTACTTGAATTTAAGTTATTTCAAAATGCTTTTGCCCTAGAACAGCCCTCAACAAAATCTAAACGTACATCTAATGTATCAAATAACCTAACTGCTTAATTTGTTTATTTATTTATAGCAACTTAATGAAGATCTGAGAACAAACAAACTTCAACTTGATGAAGAAGGAGCTCTAATGGCACTGGAGGTTGGTACCCTGAGAGTTAAGGTGGATGTGACATTAACCCTTTACATCCTAAAATAAGTTTTCATTTTCTCCACACCGTTTTTTTTACATTTCCTGTGGTAATGAGAAAGAGAATTTATGTGACCATCAGGAGCTTCTTAGGTTGGTGATCATTTCCATTATTCTCGTGCCCTGTAAATTTTCTTTAATGGTAATACTGTAAGGAGAACGAAGAAGTCAGTCACTCTCAGGGACTAAAAAGCTAAAACATATACTGCTTATTATTATAATATTACATCATCCCTTTCATTTTGAGTTTTGCCTTTAGGAAATAAAGGATGTAGTTTAATTACAACATTCAATGTATTCTCTTTTTAGCATAGTACTTCCTCTAGAGAATTACTGCCATCAGTTCATGAACTTTCACCTATGGAAGAGTTCTTTTGTCATGCATCAGTTGGAGAAACTGTAAGTGGTTTGTTTTTTTAGGTCCATGTTTTTCTTCCGTTTAAATTTACTATTTGAAGCTTGATTCTAATGTAATCACTATGTTCATGATTTGCAGACTGCCATTGTTCCTCATGTCAGTTTAGATGTTCACCACACAGACTTTGGGCAGCTGCTGGATCCTAAAGCTGTGGAGCAGAAGGTAAAATAGTTTCAGAACACTTTTTTGATTTTCATTGATTATGAGCTCAAGTTTTCACTTTTTTTTCTATTTTTACTCACAGACAGTAAACATCACAAATCACACAAAGGGAAAAATCACATGCATGTGGATGAAAGGTGGTTATAGTTAATTTAAATTGTAATTTGTTGGTCATTAACAATTGTTGTTTGCCCATTTCTAGTTTAAGACCAATTATAATTATTGCAAATGGTATTGTGATTTATACTCAATTAATGTTTTTGCTCCTTTCTGTCTGATAGATACAAAAGGGATATTTTCTGTTTCCCCTGATGAAGCAGACATCCTCCCCTTAAAAACTGCATCATTCCGAGTGACATTTAGACCAGTAAGTTATTGATACTTTCAATTATCATTGTTAGTGCCTTTTTCATTCACATGGTTCCTTTTTCTATTACTGTGATTCTGTTTACAGTGTGATTTATGACTGTATTTTTTTTTTAAAGAATGCTGCCAATCAGTTTTTTAGTGCTGACCTGGAGTGTTATGCATTTTATAAGGTGAGGTTCTGTTACAAGAGCTTGTGAATTTGTTAGGAACCCTAACTTGATTGTTTCTTTTCCAAGCTCATAACAAACATATTTCTCATGCATTTAAGGCTTCTGATTTAAAATATTGAGTTCAAGATAGCAAACCACTGTTTGAAATTCATTTTCATTTAAATGTAATTTACTCTTTGTTCCCTTTGTGCTTGCTTCAAACACTATTCAATAGTGGAAGTTATAGCTCAGAATGAAGGAATGCACATCTTAGTTACAGTTACTGCAATAACTATTTCTTTTCACAATTTCCTGGAGGAGAATGCCCTTTTACCCCCCCCCCCCCCACCCCTTCCCAGATGGTGATGCCCATGGTATCACAATTGAACACTCTTCTGTGGAAAATCTTACTCTTTGTCATTAATTAAGAGTTCTGATGATGTCATTAATTTTTTTTAAGTAGAATTTTTTGCTTATCCATTGAAGTACATTTTTGACAATGTTTGATAGATTGATCTTATTGTGTCACACACTGATAGTTAGATGAAATTTATATCATATTATTTCTATCATGGTACAGAGTATGAGAGATTATCGCCTGGTTGAGGATACCACTTTGTGCCCTCCCTGGTGCCTTTCACTCAGTGCTACAGGTTTGTGCTGAACGTAACTTTAATAAGTAATTAGTAATGAACTGAACTCTGTTTGTGGTTAGATTCAAGGATATGGTGCTTTAGTTCTGTTTTTGTTGCCATACACTTTAATGAGTTCTTATATATGTGTTTTAATGTTATTTCTAGAATTTTCGTTGAGGAAACATCAATGAATCTGTGTTCCTTGTTTCACTGAAAAAAGGTTTTTTTTTTAAATTATTTTTAGGACACACATTTGCAATGGGGACTGAAACATTTATCCCCAGAAGTCAGTGGGATGTAAAACAGCTGGTATGAGATAATGAGGGAATGTAAACTAAAGCTAATGGCTTTTAAGCTGTTTTGTCAAAATGTTTTCTCCATTTAAACTGCTCAAACTGATGTTTGGTGACCTCAAATTTAGCACAATGAAATTAAAAGTTAGTGATTACTTGAACCCTCTAGCGATCTTTAAAATTTAGTTTTTCAGCTTTCTGTTCCTTATTTTTGTTCAGTTCAACCTGATTTAACAAAGCATGTTTTGCTGGTGTGAATGAGGAAGATTCTACCCTACCCTACTCCTATAAGAATGTTGCTGTTTTATCTTTTTCTTTCTAAACTTGATTCGTAACTCGTTCCTTTTTTCCAATGTTTAGGTCTTTCCAGCTACCACTGTGGATGGCATGTCATACAGAACATTGCTGTTGAGCAACAATGGGCAGAATCCAATCCATTTTGCATTTGATGATGATCCATCAGGGTAATGACAAAATAAATTGTAATATGTTACTTTTACTTTTCCACAAAAGGTCAAAGACCAAGTGTGGGTGAAACTAGAGAAGGAAAAAGTTATAGCAGTCTGTAAAAGGCAAATAGAAGTGCAACCCTTTAAAAAAAATTAACCCTAATAATACATGATAAGTTAAAAAATAACTTTTTACTAACCAAGTGTGAGGTTATTACTGTGGAATATTGGCCTGAGGTTGTGGCAGTGTGGACCAAGTGCATTGCAAAGTCTGTACAAAAACAACAGGGGGCCAATGTTCCGCAGTGTGGCTCAAGCAAGCAAGGTTAGTAAGTAGTTTAGTATTTGGTACTCAAATCAAACTGGCCTATGTTTAATTTGCAGGCTGTTGTGAACAAAATACTCAGCTTATGACATTCAAATATTAATGATCAATAGATTTTTCTTTTAATTTTGCATTTGACAATTATATCAAAGGGGAAAGTGAACCTGTTTATTGAAAATTGAGCAGAATAAGTTCTATAAATTTAAGGCTGAAGCTCCTAAGAGCTTTTAGTAGTATTTATAATAATAATAATATTAATAATTGTGATTACCCAGGTTGAAAACCTTGGTAAGATCTGGACAAGATCTTGGTGAAATCATGGCAAGATCTTTGATAAAATCTTGGCAAGACCTTTGGTAAGATCATGTAAGATCTTGGACAAGATCCTGCAAGAAGCTGCAGGATCTTGCTAAGATCTTGACAAGATCTTTCAATGATCTTGGAAAGATATTTTTAAGATCTTGCTAAGATCTTGACAAGATCTTTTAATGATCTTGTCAAGATCTTGGTTATGATCTGATCAAAATTTTTGTAAAATCATGCAGGATCATGGTAAGATCTTGACAAGATCTTACAACCCTTGCGAAATGGCTTTTGGAATTCCTAGGAATTCCTAGGATTTTCCTAGGAATTCCTAGGAATAAAGGTGTGAATTTTCACAGTAAATTCGGACTGGGAATTCCTAGGAATTCCTAGGAATTCCCAACCATAACAACTCTGGTTCTAAAAACCTAGAAATTCCTAGAAATTCCCAAAAATTCCCAGAAATTCCAAGTTTATAGTCAACAGGACTTGGAATTCCTAGGAATTCCAACTCAGAGAACCGATGACTTTCCCTGAAAAGCTGTAAATCTAAAAAATTCCTAGGAATTTCTGGGAATTTCTGGGAATTTTTAGGAATGTTTAAGAATTACTGGGAATTTTAAGCAAAAATTTGAGGCTAATGATATAAAATAAATACTTTAAATTAAAAAAACCCAGCTAAAATTCAAGTATTCAATGAAATTTATTTAGAAGCTTAATTAAGGCTTACATGTAAAATATTTTTGATTAATTATTAACATCAATGTGTGGTAATATTAGGATGGAATTTGATTTATTTTTCTTTTCTTGAAAACTTCATACGGATTAATCCTCAATTACAGCTATTCATATAAAATAGTTCTAATCAATCATTAAATTTGGTTTGACACAAATTGTGAATAAAATCTGTTGATTCTCTTCCATAAAATACAATTTATCTTAAGTTATATTTATATAGTTATATTCTTGGGAGTGAAGGGGCTAATTACAGACAAATAAAATTGATTTTTTTATTAAAATCTTGTTGTAACTGTAACAATAAAATAGAATGAAGTTATCCTAAACTGCAAACTTAGCTGCTGTTTGTGCTGTTTTTTTTTTTTTTTTCCTGGGCTCACAATGAGTTGGCCTTGAATGAGGTTGTCAACAAGAACCTTGACCATTTTGTATCTGGATTCCTTGACATCTGAATTTGAAAAAAAATAATATATTAAAATATGTATGTTTAAAGCTCAGACCAGGCTTTTAAGATGGCTATGAGGAAAAGGGCATTCATTGGATTCTCAAATTGAGAAATCTCTGTTATATTGAGTGACTTTTATATTGGAGTTAGTACATCTCTCTCATGGATTTTACTAAAAAAGGGCTGAATACATTATTTTGTTTTTACCAAGGAGGGCTTCTTTATGTACTAAGGTTTGTTATGAATCTTGAATGTTCCCAAACGTGACTAGAGGAATCTTGAAACCTTACTGATAGGTTTATTTCATTGTAAAGCATAAGCTTAAGAAACTGCGGCATGCAAGTGACCGATTCGATTCTCAGAATTTTTCTAGTTTCAGTTGCGCCGAGCGTTATGTAAGCTTAATTCAACCCGCTACATCTATTCTTTTATAAGATTTTGATCACGTAACGAATATCGCAATTTTTACTCACCACAAACTTTCAAAATCGTAGCTTTACAGATGGCCACTCGACCCTTGTTTGTACCAGTCCATATGTCAACTGTTGTCCCTTCTTTTAACTCCACGGCGCCAACGACTATCTTCTCTTTTACAACACTCACGCTATTCTCGTTTTCCCATTGAACCACAATAATAGCTATCTTTAGAAATGTTATATTAAGCAAAACAGTTGAGAAAAGCGATCAACCGATGAAAAGTACATTCAAAGATGAGCGCCAAATGGAGTCTTCTTTGTTTCCGATCACGGGCATGATCACGTGGATCTTTTAGGACTTGTCATTGGCTAGCAAAGTGAACCCGCTGGCTTGCCGATTGCAGTGTTAAGGGAAGCGCCCAACTTTATTCTGACTTCTCCGACCAGTTCTCTGCTTCTAGAAGATGTATAGCTTGGTGATATAAATAAAGATGTGAGCTCACTCTATGTAGAAATAATCGACAAGAATCGATCGTATTACAAATGCACGATTTTTGGCCGAAAGTTGTCGAGGAAACAAAGACTCGAAACTCACTTGAGTTGTGTTAATGGCAAAGGTGAGAAATAACACAAGCCAATCACAGTTTTGAATGCGACTACAAATCGTCTTTTACCCTCATATTTATAAAAGAAGGATACCACATTCGGAAGTATAAGAGATACATAGATGATCCCTGAGTGTACCAGTACCTAAATCTACACAGCTTGACCGTAGCAAGCGTTCAGCAACACGTTCCAACACCGCCATCTCGATTCCTCAGTCAGTCGTTTCCACTGAACTTAAAGCAGTATTGACAACAGAGTAGAGTGCATCTTACAAAGGAGAAACATTTGTACAAGAGACAGGAGTAGCTATATGCGATTACAGAGGTGCGTTGGAACTCTGGTCCACAAATAGTTATGCACTGCCCGAAGTATAAAACAATTTTGTTGATAGCTGACAGACAGAGAAGAACAACAAGTAAACTTAAGAGCTGTTATTATTGAAGTGTGACTAGCACTTTTCATTTTTATATAAAGAAGGACTTGTAATTTGCACCAAAAATAAAAAGATGTAATATTTTTTTGGGAGATCCAGTGATTGGGACATCTAAGAAATTAAGTTATGAAAGGAAACTTGGCTGGTACTTCTCACTACTAACAAGTCTTGTTGACAAATATTTTCAGATCAGAGTTTCAAATAAAGTAAATTGAAGACGTCATATAAAAGGTGTTTTTCCTCAAAGGGAACATTGACTACCTCTGTCTTGTCTGCATGCCAAATGTTTGCAAAGTGTGTGGATGATCCACAAGTATTGGAACTCTTACAAAAATGTTTTGTAAGAATAAAAACAGCAAAACAAATTACAGCAATTAGTCATGAAAATAGAGCAAAAAACTGAAAAAAAAGCAGCAACAACAATCATGAAAAAAGAAAGATTAATTAGGTGTTGAATTTGTTTGTCTAAGGCATAAAATTTCTACTAAAAGTATTGTCAACAAAAAGTCTCTGACAGCGTTTGAGGCAACTGAGCTTGACTGTTCCATGGTTTTCTAACAAAGGCAACCAGTAATGTTGGTTAGGGAAGTAATATAACAATGTAATTATTGTTAATTATTGTGGAAGTTGGCAATTTCCATTTAACATAACTGACAGCTAGTTCATGAGAAAATCCATATTAATGTAAAGATTTACTAAAACTTAGTTTGAGTAATAAATTTCATGATCTTTAAGTTATAAACATGTACATGTATGTATATCTCTTGGTAAGTTTTGTATAGCATACCTTTTATTGAGCCAAAGTTTTAAGCCTCTGAAATTACTCTTTTTCTTAAAACCTTCACATTCAAGGTATTGAGAATTTCTTAGAATTTATGTGGACCTCAGGGTATTAAAATTGCCTCAAATTCAATTCCCAGAAATTCCCAAGAGTTCCACACTTCTCAAATTATAGGTAGTTTGTAAAGCTGAGAATTCCTAGGAATTCCTAGGGATTCCAAGTCCTCACAAAACTGGAGTCTTCCTTTCCCAGAAATTCCCAGTAATTCCACGCTTTTTAAATCAGAGTTAATTTGCATAGTTGGGAATTTTTGAGAATTCCTAGGAATTCCTAGGAATTCCCAGAAATTCCCAGATAACTGGGAATTCAGTTTGCAAGGGTCATTTGCATAATTGGGAATGTTTTAAAATTCCTAGGAATTCCTAGGAATTCCCAGAAAACTGGGAATTCAGTTCGCAAGGGAATGATCTTGGCAAGATTTTTTACTATCTTACATGGTAAGATCTTAGCAAGATCTTTCAGTGGTCTCAACTTGCCAAGATCTTGGCAAGATCCTTCCAAGATAAAGATCTTGACAAGATCATCCAAGATCTTTCATGATCATAAAAGATCTTGACAAGGTTCTCAACCTGGGTAAAGTTGAACAAACTTAATTATAAATTCTGGTTTTAAATCTCTCATGCTGAGCTAACTGTAAATGTTTCTGGTTCCTTTTTTCAGAGAGTTTACATGTAGACCTAGAACTGGATTGCTTACTGATAAATATCAGGTTAGAATTGTGTTTTAATGATGGTTAATAATGATATGTTTGGATGAAGGGCTTAGGCTTGAAATGTCAGTATTGGGAACACTTTTGGGTGGCCAGTTCACATTATTTATCTACTCTGTCATCTGGTTAAACCAAATAATCTTGTAACACCCCTCACCAATGCAGCACCACTGACAGTTTCTTTAGAAGCTTGCCCCATCATTCATTAATGATCTGCAGTCAACTTGTTTATTTAGACCATGGATGATTAACTTTCTAAATACTTCAAACCTTCTCTCTTTTTTTTTCCAGTTGATTATTTTCAAAATGGCACCAACAGAAGCAAAAGCCTTTAGGTGCACAGTCAATTGTAAGCTGAATGATGCAAACAAGTTTACTCAGGTTATTTTAACTTTTTTTTTTGTAAATTAAGTGAAATGAGTTTTCATCACATTGTATCATACTTATAGATATGAATTTTTGTTCATAAAATTAAATCCAAATTTTTTTAGCAAGTACATTTATTTTGTAATGTATAATATGTGATAGTTTATACTGAGTACTTTACAATTTTGTTTAAACAGGAAATCAACCTTGTTGGATCAGCAGAGACTCCATCTCTAAAACTCAATAATCAGGTTATACTCATATAATTATATTTGTTATTAAACCACTAATCCTTTATTTTCATGGGTTCATATTTATATGTTTAGTCATCGTAAGCAGCTTGTTTTTTTGGCTATAGGAGATTTACTGATCAGATTTTACACATCAGTTACTGCTATGAATGAAATCTTAATTTAACTATCTTTGTTGTTTTCGTAAGTGTGAAAAGTTTGAAAATCAGGTGATTTCTGATTGAATCTGTCTAGTGACTTTCCATGATTATTTCATCTGACAGTAACTTTTTTGGGTTTTACAGGGAACTGTTTATTTCAAACCAACTTGTTTGGGTACAGCATCAACAAGGCTGTTTGAAGTAAAGAATACCTCCAGGATTCCACTGAGGTTTGTTCAATTATGTTAACCTTTTTAAATGTCAAACTAAATCCCACCTTTTTCTCATTAATAGAAATAAAATCTATCTTTTTTCTTAGAATGAGAGTCCAGCAATGTGTTTGTATAAGATTGATAATTACATTATTATAATATGATTATAACATCAACAAGCCTAATTTTGCTTATCAGGTTTTCATGGAAGATCCCTGGACCTCATTTTAAAAGTCTTAGCATTGATCCCTCTGATGGAGTCATTCTACCCAATGAAACTCAGGTGGGCATGAGCAGTGTGTTTCAGTGATTTTTTTTTTGTTAATTGTCTTCCAAGATCCCTGTAAATTATCACAGTGTTACTAGTAAGACAAAACAATTTTGGTCTTATCTACATGTCTTATCCTCTATCAGTTTTATCATCTTTTGCAGAATGCAATGTGTTGTAAACAACTCCTTTTTTTCTCATAGGCTCACACTTTTAGCTTTAAACCTCATGAAGAAGAAAAATATGTGATCAAGACAAAACTCTCTTTGAAAGGATTGCAACCAGAATCCCAGCAACAGTAAGGAGTTCATAAAACGTCAGCTGGAACCTGATCATCATTTGGTCATCATAATGTTTCTCTAAATCAATTAGATAAAGCTAATTCAATTATAATGCAACCTTTTTGTGGAGTAGTTTTGGTTTTTACTGAGAATGTAGCAGGGCTACATGCAGAGAATGAGAGAACTCTTCATCATTTTAACTGTTGTCTAAAGCAGAAAATTATTCAAAGCCAAGTAGTTGACTTGGGTTGTCTTTTACCTCTAGAGCACAAGAAGATAAGTCCTATCTAGTGAGAGTTATTGGTGAAGGATCTCTTGGGGAAATTGTGGTAAGCATTTAACCCTGTAACTCCCAAGATCTGATTGTTAATTCTCCCCTCTAGGGGCTAGACATTTGTCAATTAATTAACAGGAGTTTAGTGCTAGATCAAGATAACAACTTTTACCTGATAATTTTGAGCCCTTCTATTACCCTTTCATTGGATAATGTGTGGATATGACAGGGAGCAGTTGATCACTTGTGTGAGTTAAAGGGCCAAGTCAACATATATATTTTCCACTGGATGTCTTTCCAATTGGCATCATTCCTTTTATTTATTTCTACATATATATGAGCATTAATTTATTCTTTTCATCTTAAAGTGTCTAGAGGAGGCTATGACTTTTGGGGACATTGTTGTGGGAAGCTCTGCCTCTCAAGAGCTAACAATCCATAATAATAGTGACTGCAGTCTCCACTATAACCTACTTATTGACCAGGAGATATTGGGACCCTATGATGATGAACAGATTGCAAGAGATGTATTGGGTAAGTTCGTCATATCTGGTTTTTTTCGGTTTTTTTGTTTTAAGTTTTATGTTATTTTACCTGGTACTGCATAAAAATATCTGGAAAGAAGTATACTTGGTTTGATGGAAGTGTTTTTAACTGTTCTCTTGTGTATTGTAGCAATGGAAATAAGCAATCAAAATGGGATTATTCCAGCAAGAACTTCCCAGAAAATAACAGCAACTGCCTATCCTTCACGCCGTGTTTCCTACAAGTTCAAACTCTTTTATGAACTTCTCTCAATTTGTGGTATGTTAAAATTTTTTTTCACTGACTCACTCAAAATTATATTGTTGACTTGGCAGGTACACCCTTACATTTCCTTCTTTAGTCATTTTATTTTACTCTTGATTACTAATAATATTGACACCTGAATAGCATGATCCACGAACAATGAGACTTAGCTTCATGAGAATTGTTTGCACAGACACATAATCATTCATTTACTTTTCTTATTATTCAATCCATGTAAAAATTTTTTTCACAATGTTCCTAGCTTCCTTTTCAGGAAAGCTTGGACAGTCTCCATATTTCACCATTTGCAACATATGTTAGTTACCTTGTAGACACATAAAGCTATAGGGTGTCTTTGTTTATTGAAAATTCTTTTTAGATGTCAACATTTTTGCAATTGAGTGTTAACAGCAGACACATCCAATTCAAATGTTGATTTTCCTCTGGCAGATGGTGGAAAACCTCTGATGACTTGCCCCAAAAGACAACTAGCTGAACTGCAGTGTCAGGGAGTGTATCCTACTCTGTCTGTGACTGATGTACGTTGTCTGGGGAGTGGCAAAGCATACAGCAAAGTGCAGATATGGAATCTCCTATCACTTGACAGGTAGACTTAAATGGTTATTCATAATTATCCCAAGTGAAATCTTTGAAGATCTTGAAGGATCCTTGCAGGATCCTTGTGAGGGTCTTTACAAAAATATTTGTGAGGATCTTGGCAAGGTCTTTGAAGTGTGTTTATTATTTCCTCAAGAATCTTAAGGAAGTCTTCAGTGTCTTCTCACTGGTAAGAGATCTTTGAAGACCTTGTAGAGATTCCTTCAGGATCCTCTAAAGATTCTAATGTTTAAATGTCTTTGTCAGGTCTTTGATGCTCTTGAGGCAGCAAGTCAAGTTATCTAAAATTCTTCGGTCAATTTATTAGCAGGGAATAATTGAAATTGAAAACTCTTCTGTTTTTGTATAATGGGATGGTGTCATTGAGTATTTGTCAACAAAAATAAGATTAAATACAATGTTACTTATAATATCTTGTCAAAACTAATTTTGAATCAATGTTGTGTCATTTTACTGTGTTTGTCAAAACTTTACTGTTTTAACTTGCAGTCTCAATGAATGTTTGGAGGCAGATCCGTCTCCATCAGAACTCCTTTATGCTGCAGTCACAAGGCACAGGTAAGTTACACCTCAGACTGTCAGTAATAATTAACTCAATCACAAATCATGCTGATGAATATTAAAATAAAGTGATCCAAATTTACACAGTACCAGGCGCAGAGTCCCTGTCAATACACGAGCGATTATGGACTTAAACTTTGGAGCTGCACCTTTGAATGGAGATCCATGTGTGGTGCATCTTAACCTACAAAACACAGGCACAGTTCCTGCTGAATGGTAATTATAACTCCTGATAATACCAAGTGATCATGTAGTCTGATCATCTTAGTGAGAGTAGTCCTGAGAAGGACTGTTGTTGGTAGTAATGACTGACATTTCGACAACCTAGGCAGAAGTCATCAGATTCAAAAGGAGAGTTGCTGTCAGCAGTCACATGTTATAAGTCCAGTTCACATAAACTAATAAGTCAGTTAAGCCTTGATGTTATAATATACTGGCAATAAGAATCAAGTGTGATTGGTCAGTTTCTATCTGTAGGTAATGATAGGTTGCCCTTTTCAATCCATTTTAATACCAAGATTGTCATTTCTGATGAATTACTTCAATTTGAAAATGAAGATATTCTTTTAATTTACAGACTTTAATTTGCAGTTTGCATTCAGTTTATATTCAGCT